TGAGGAGTAAGTCCCTTCAGCATCACCAGATCCTCCCAAGGCACTCACAGCACTAATCCTTCCTTCCCACTAGTGGCATTTCCCCACTCCTGCAGCCAGGAAGTAGCTGACAATTTAGCACAGAGGAGTAACTCGATAGTTTATTTAAATGGAACACACTGGAGCTGAGATAAATAAATTTTCCTATATTTTCAGTTTTATAACAGATAACACAAAATGTAGTAAACATTTTAAAATGTAAAAATAGTGCAAAATTACTTCTGTGATAATACAAGACAAATGTTGACAATCAACAGCATTTTAAAACCAACAATAGGAAACAGATCAGGCAAAACACTCATTTATATAGCATGGCAGAAATGCAACTAACCTACAGGCTTTTCCATGTAAGACAGGAAAAAGATCAGTTACATACAGTTAAACCTATGAAAGGTGACTAAACCAGAGCATTTGAAAAGTAGCCTTGTATACCAGCTTCCAGACAAAATGTAGATATAATTTGATTTCTTGCTGAGCATATTGCACTAACTTCTTTTATTATTTGTCTTGGCTTGTTGGGTTTTTTTGGGGTTTTTTGGGTTGTTTTTTTCCCCCTTTTTTTTTGTTGTTTTTGTGGGGTTTTTTGTGTTTTTTTTTTGTTTTGTTTTGTTTGTTTGTTTGTTTGTTTGTTTTTGTTTTGGGTTTTTTTTCGATTATGTATGAGAAAATGACATGTTGCTGAAGAGCTCAGTTCATTTTAAAGACTGGCACCATGAGATTAGAACTATGTTGACAATCACCATTCAAGAAAAAAACAAAACAAAACAAAAATTGCCATAGTGGTAGGACAAAATCCAACTTGGAAAAATGAAAAGAAATACATGTGTGAATATTGCAACATGGATCTAAAATAGTTTCATGAAGGGCATAAAGTCCCATTGTATCAAGCCTTTTAGAAAAAAAAATTTGCAAATGTATGTCCAAAACAAGTGTTCAACTATAGTTCTGTAACGTTTGAGTTTAGGAGCTAGTGTGACATTTGATTCTTATCTTCCAGGTAACACAAGAGAATTCACTTCAAAGCAGTGATTATGAGGCAACAATCTTATATACATGTATATATTTGTTTCTGCACATTGAAGTAGGTCCCTGAAGTCACACTTACAGCCATAAAATTACTCAAAGGGCAACTACAGGTTCTGTATGAGCTCCTGAAGAATGGGGTTGTCAATTAAACTTAAAAAAATCTTTTACAGAGCAGTTTCATATCTGAAAAGCCACCAAAAAATACAACAAAAATTAATGCAGCTTGAGTCAAATCCAGCCTTTAAATTATTCCTATAGGAATAAAATTGTTTATTTTTTGATCATTTGACTTGACAAGGCAAACTTATTTGGGAATGTTCTACTAGTGAATCAAACTGGCCCAGATACTGCAACAAATAATTAAATATTTTACCTTTAAAAACATGACTAGAAACAACAAAATTATTTGGAAAAATGATTAACTGTGTAAGCAAGCATCAGGACATACATAATGTGATTCAACAACTAAACAATTTAGTTAAATTTTCAAATGCATTAGAGGCTTATTAACGTGAACTGTCTGAAAGAATTGATGATACATAGATTCACTTGACTGTATTTAACCCTCTGATTTTTTCCCAGAAACATCTACCAATGACAAAGAGCAAAATACATAAAGTTCAGAGATTCTCAAGTATGTTACTGCCTTCTTTGGAACCTGAATGGAGGAAAACACAGAAAAAGTTTACATTGTAGAAGAAAACAAATGACAACTAAGAACTCTATAGTTAATATGAAGGAAAAAAATATTGCTGTATTCCCACATCTGTATTTGCATTCTGTTTACAAAGTTTGGGTTCAGGGCATTCAAATTAAATGCCTGCATTTTTATACAGAACAAGAGAGAGTTCTCTCCATCATAAATATGTAGCATTATGCACATATATGTACACATATATGCATAAAGGATATTTATCCTTTCTCTTAGATCTTAGCTTTTTAGATTTAAAGCCCTCAAAATATCACAGTCAGTTGTGGTGTTGGAAGAAGGAACTTCTGTTGCAGAAGTCTATTCACACCTTCTTAATCTTTGGCTGAGGTCAGGCAGCTAAACCACATTCTTAACTCTACAAGAAAGTAAGACGAGGAATATTAAGTTATCATTCTTTAGTATTTATAAATGGTTAACCATGCAATAAATTAATTACTAACCTGAATCAATCCCATAGAAATGGAAAATAGACAGGATAACAGAAAAAATATTACAATAGCAACTCTTTTTTGGGTACTGAGGTACCAGCAACCTACTGATGTACACAGTCTAAAGGTTATTTCTGCTGCTAGATTTGATTGGGATATTTTCCCCCATCATAAAATAAATTGGTTTTTCATTTAAACATGATCAGAATCCTTTTTTTAATGAAGACAAATATTTTCACTACATAGGACTGATATTATTTTAGCCCACTATTTCACATGAAGAAAGCATTTGAAAGACAGCTTTTTTTATATTTTGTAGAATAACATTCAAATTATAAGATAAATTCTTAAATGTTGGCTTGAAGGATGCATCTTTTAGAAGAAACAGTCCAATAGATCTCAGCCCTAAACTGCTGAGAATTTTTAAATAATTCCAATTGTATGGACCTCCTGCCTTACTATTATATTGACACAATATCCTTACAGTAATAGCAGCAAATACTTTCAGGTGAAATCTATTTTTATTGTCTGTGATGAATTTGTATCTTCTCATTTGCTAAATGAAATTTGGCAACTGAAACCAAAGGCCAGTAGTATCTCACTACAACACAAGCGCAGTACAACAGGAAGAGTTTTGCAGATCAGTGGAAAAAGCTTGGAAGCTTCAGAGCTGACATTTTTAATATGTCTGTTCTTCCACCAACAAATGCAATGCTGCAAATGCTTTTTCAAAAACATCTTTCTGTAGTAGTAGGTGCTGTGCTTTGGAATCTCTGCTCTTCTGATTTGTCTTAGAATACAATTTCCCTTTCACAGTAGTTTGTGAAAATGATAGGGTGACTTTTATTAGTAAAGAACTAAGCGTGGAGACTGTTAGTGTTAGAATCAGATGTTCAGCTTCTTCAAATGTTAAATACTTCTCTCACATTGCTTTATTAATACACTCCAACAAAACAAAGAAAAAAATTAGGATTATGCTGTGATTTCCTGGACAAGTCAAGAGGCCGTGTAACTTGGCACATAAGTCATAAAAGCTAGCCCTTTTTGCAAGATAATTGTAAAAAATGCTTTTTTTTTTTTTGTCATGAATTATAGAGCAAAGTCCTTTTTGCTGACTACATCACTGAATTCCAGTATAAGGACTTCTCACACATAAATCTTGTTACACAGCAAATTGGAAAACTCACAAGTAATTCCCAAGTGTTCAAATGAAAACATGCACTCTGAATACATGTGTAGTACTATATAATAAAGGAATTTAGAGTCCAGCTTTACAGAACCAAAACTGTAGGCAAGAGTCCAACAGCAGAAGTTGTTTTAGCTCTAGTTTTCTTTTTAAATCATCAACACCAATGAAGAACCCTTAACAGTGGGATTCTTGGAAATCATATTTTAAATACTATACGGAAAACACTGTTTTCTCTCTGGGGTTTAAGCATTGTCTACCATGATCAACTTGATGCTATGGCATTTAACTCATCGATAAGAAAAAAAATCAGTTAAAAAAAGTAAAGTTCTGGCCAGTCACAGAGACACCACTTCTGCTCACCAGTCCTCAGTGAAAGTCACAGGCTTTGGACCTGTGGATATCTGTGCTGATCACTAGAACAGATCACCTCTGAAGGAGGATCATGTCTGAACTGCCTGGCTTGAAGCAGGAGAGATGAAATGCTAAACCCAGGGATGGAATATGCTGAATACCAAAGTGTGAAGGCCAGAGATGGAAAGCTTCCATCCATACCAGAGGCTTTCCTTAGGAAAAGCAGACAACTGATATATTTGTTCACTGGAGGAAATATATCCCAATAAGGAAAGGAAGGACATAAAGTGCATCTCTGAGACAAAATGCACATTTAGGTACTTGTTATCACTTCCACCAAAGCTAAAAGCCAGGTTAAAAGATGTACAGTTTATATTTTGCATCTTTGTTGCTCTATCTCTCTATATGCTTTATATAAGATACATTCTTTTGTGCTGTTCTCTGTGACCATCTTGCTTACATCAATATTTTAATCTGACTAAATATACTTCCATTTACCTCTGAAACAGTTAACTGCATAGGTTACCATTTCCTGCACATTTTACTACTGATAACTTGTGATAGGCACTCAGTCCTTCAACCTGGTGAGCTTCTCATAATGTGTCCTAATGTTGCATTCTTGATATTCAAAGGAACGTTCAAAGGACAAGCTTGTTTTACCCTGCAAGACTATTATTGACAACCACCCACAACGTGGGTTGAAATATCTTGTAACAAAACTAAATTTATTCCGTTTTTATGACAGACAGCTTTGTCCTGTAATTAGATCTCAGCAACACAAGAGCATTTAGAAACATTTCTTGTAATGATATCAAATAATATACACAGCTCCTTTTTAATGGTTTTTGGTTTTAACTTCAGCTCAGATTCAAGGGAAACTTTGAAGCCCAAAAAACAGGTTTATTTTAATCTGAGAGAAAAATGAGCCACTCAAAAATGGTTTGACAAATTTATGTCAAACTCTAAGTTCTAGGAAATACAAAATGCCTTTTTTAGGATTGCTTGTTTCACAAAAAAAGCACAATGCTTTATTTGCTAATGTCCTTTGGAATTTAGTTGCCTCAGTTACCTCATCAGTTTGCTCTAGAAGCCATTTCTATCATAAAGTGATTCTTTTGTAGCCAGCTGATACCATCATCATGATCCAATAGCGCAGGAACTATTACAGATATATGCAATATTATTTTAATGAAAGAAAATATTTTAAATTTCTAATAAACATACCCAGAGTTTGCTTTCAATGCTCCAGAACACCTTAAGTAGAAGTTTTACTTCTTTTGGCTCTCTTTAACTTTGAATAACCTTCTTCTTTCTGCTTACAAAAACAAGACAAACAGAAAAGGGCAAAAGCCAATAAAGCAGCAATACTAAGCTAAAAGTTCAACTAAAAAACATTGTTTCTGAGTGAAATTCTTAGTTGAATAAGAAGTAATTAATAAAAAATTCTGTTTTCCAATATAAATAATCCGAAGTATGTTTATAAGTACAGTGGCTGAATAATTAGGAACGTGGCTATTTTGAAAATACCTTTTACATGTTGGTAACCATGACTTTCAAAACCAACTATCATTTCTGGTTATCAGTAGTGACAAAGGCTTATTCTTCAGAGATGTGCTTAGCAGTGTCCCCAGTCAGCACCATTATATTTTAATAGGGAGGACAGGAGGAATCAGCCCAATAAGCATCAGAGAGTCCATCCTGACCCCAATTAACAGACAAGCCTCTTTTCCTGACACACCAACGAAACTTCCTGAGAGCCTTGCATCCACCTCTCTTGAGTCTAGCAGTGGCAGCACTGCAGTGGCAGTGTGACAGTGAGAACTTGCTGTGTCCTGACGCTTCCCAAAAGTAGCTTGCAGGGCTCAGGCAGGTACCTGTGCTACTCACAGCCTGCCTGGAGAGTGAGGAATGCATGGAGCACCAGTGACTCCTGACTAGGACAGGGCAATGCCCCTTCCCCATTCCAACAGTACTGCCAGAGCAGCTACAAGCTCTCCATGCTTACAAGCCCTGGTGTGTCTGAGTCATTCCCAGAGGCAGGTAAAGGACTTCATTAGTTCGCATTGTGGTGGAAGTCTCCTCTCAATACCCAGACCCCTGGAGGTGTTATTCCTATAAACAGCTACTTTTAGTTGCTGTTTTTTTTCCTCTTTGTGAGAGTGACTCTAATGCTGTAGCACTGCAGTGCTGGACCTGTAACCACTGACTTGGTTGTGGCCCTGTGGAAGGGCCTTTCCCAGCTGCACTTGGATGGGGCCGGCTCAGAGCAGCTGGGCTGGCGCTTCCCACACTGACTCCTCTCTTCCCTGCTGCAGCTCGAGCTCTGGGGTATGAGTGTGTTCCTGCAGGAGGCCCCTGGGGCTGCTGCACTGGCCTTTGCTGATCACACGGAGAGCACAGACTGTGTTCCTTTAATTACAGTTAAAACATCCTGAATTGCCTTGTACTTGGCTTTAAAAGCATAACAAAGCAAAAAACAATTTCTACAGAATGTTGCTAAATTCAAGTCCTTGAGATGAAAATCTTACAGAGCCATATACAGCAGGATAGAACTTTTCTGTAGAATCAGAAAATCTGTTTCAGAAACACTAACATCATTAAGTATTTCAGTAGCAGCTTTTGCTGGAGACACACATTTAAAATGAACTCTTTAAGCGACAGTATCATACCCAGTGGTTACCTTTAACCTGGTTAAGGTTAATTTTATCCAGAGAGGTCAGTAAGATTTCGTAGCCTGCCCATTTTAATTGGAGCAGTTTGGATCTTTTTTGTCTCTTAATTCAGGTCCTTCTGGACTGGATCAAGGAGTATATTTGTGTGTGGGGGGGTTACCTGTCTTTGTCTGGCACAACTTTTCTTTACAGGTGCTTCCATGGTGCTCTCCTTGACTGGCAAAGTCAGTTTTGAGGTCAGTGTTTCACATGTCAGATACTTGTTCCCTGTAATCAGCTTAAAGCACAGAAGTTTATATCTTCATTAGAAAAACACCCCACAACATTTTGAACAAGATCTCTAACTTTTAAAATTACTTACTTTTTCAAAAAGTGCTCTCATCACACAAAGCTGAGATAACCTACCAAATTACATTGTATAGATGAAAAACATCAGCCCAAGACATTTCATCCATGTACCCAATATATGGAATATCATCCTCATAAAAATTACACTGAAATCAGCTGAACTATTTTTTTAATTGAAATGCAGGGAGAGGCACAGAAAAATTAGGTGGTAAAGTACCTCTAGCTGTTACCTAATCATAACTCTTACACAAAATAGAGCTAACTTCAAAGATAGACCACCTTGCTTTGGGTCCCATTCAGTCAAGTTCTGAGAATATGGAAGGCTAGCAAACCCAAAAACCTCTCTCTGCAACTTGCTCTAGTAGCTGACTAGCTGTTCTCACACTGAAGATTTTTTCCTCATGTCCAGAGGGATTTTTTTTTCCTGTTGCAACTTGTGCTTTTTTTGAAATTATAATTAAACTTGTATTTGCAAAGCTTCCACGTTTGTCTAACAACACAATGCCTTACACACAACTGATGTCAGCAATACGCAATTGATGAGGTTTGAGATTCCTTCCAGAAGGAAGGAATTATTCCATTAGTATGGTTTTATATGAAGAAAGAACACCAAAAAAAGGTCACCATGTTAACCTCACACAGACCTGGATAAACTGTCTAAAGCAAAGGAAAATTAAGTACCCCACCATAAAAGTCTCAAATTAAAGAAGTGTTTATTTAAAAAAACACAGTAAATCATCTTCCCTTTCAAAAAAAAAAAAAAAAAAGAAAAAAAAGAGCAGCAGTGGCTGAAAACATTAAGTTATATGGTAGAATTTTAGAAAACTACATTGAGAATGATGGTAGAACATTATGAAAGTCATGCTCTTTATTGCTTAACATTGTTGAATTTGTGAGAAGCAATGAGAATGAGCCCTTTACCTGTTCAAAGTTAGGTTTGGAATGATGACTGGTTGTCACAGCAGTACAGTCCTTAGAGTGGCATGCTGCTTTGTTTCCCTCACCCTTGGCCATGCACACTGTATCTTTGAAGACAGATTCATGAATATTTAACCCAGATCCTTTATTTGATCTCTTTGTTTGTTGCAGTGACAAACTGGAATTTGTCATTTCACTGTCTAATTTACAAATCTGCAAATGCACTTCCGTTGATTGGTGTTGTTTCTCAAGAAATTGAGCAGTATTTTGACTTGTAAACTTTTTCCCCCTTCTTGCACTGGAACTAAAAGATTCATGTGTATTCAGACATGGACTGGTGTTTGATTTCTGAAGCATTGGCCCAAAATTCTTAAGAAAGAATGGAGATTTTGCCTTTTTGTGATTGACTTCACGTGGATTCCCACCTGAAGCTGAGTTTTCAGAAAAATCAGAGTTAGCCATTTGTCCACTAGACTGGGTTTTCCATTGGAATATGGGTGTACCATGTTTTGCGTGTGTCTTCATGTTCTTTACCTGAAGCACGCTGCTGTCAGTAGGAGTTTTGACTGGCATATTTTGAATGTGTTTGAAAATCTGAGTTATGCTGGATTTGTGCACAGTCGGCATAGAAGACGAAACACCCACACTTTTTATTGGTGAATGCCTTTCAGCATTTTCCTTTTTCTTCCTATCTGTTTGATTTGTGATCTTTCCATTCATTTGCATCAACTTTCCTTTGAAAATTGGTATAATTTCGCTGACTTTTGGAAGCGTGGCTTCAAAGGCTGAGTTTACAGGTGTTCCTAAAGATTTTGCAGTTGGTAACTGTAGAACGCCTGGAATTTGCATATTGCTCATTGATTTCTCTGTTGCTTCAATGCTAACCCCTCCTGTACTCGAAAAACTGCTACTGCTACTCGACAAATTGTTTGTTCCAGGCTCTTTGATCAAACGCTCCATCCAGTGGCTGTTTTCCGTACTGCACGGTGAAGGAATTTCAGGCAAAGTCGGTTTTCTTGGAGGAACCTGCGTTAGAGATACTACACAAACCATCTCACCGTCCAATTTCGTACGCTTAGGTTTTATTTCCTGCAACACATCAAGAGGCTGCTAAATTGAATAAACTGCATTTAACGATCTAATAGTGCCACCTAATGCACTGTTATATGGTATCAACTGAATAGACATCACAACATATAAGAATAAAAATTTGTGGTTTGGAGTAGAATATTTTAAAACAATATTTAGTTGTCACTATAAATTAAGGGGGTTTTTTTTATCCTCCCCGAGTTCTTTGTTTACACACTCTGCTAGAATATCGTATTTCTCAGAAGGAAACACTTAAATTACACTAATTATCTTGGTTTAGTGCTTTCCAACTGGATAATGTCTACTCCTTTTGAGGAGTTCTACAGAGGGTTTGACTGACAGGGCTCCTCATCTCTTAAGACTTCTAAGAGCATCTGTATTCTGAGCAAAAGACAGTCTGGATTTCTATAAAACTGCAGATGACACAGAGGACCTATTCTAGGTCCTACCTTTGATCACTGGAGAGACATAAACAGAAACTGCTTTCTGAAAGAGGATTATAGTATTTTAGAACCTCTGCAATATCTGTCACTATTATTTGTTCAGAATTAATTACTTCATTTCTTCTTTCACACACTACTACCAAAGAAATTTGAGCCTTAGCCTTCGTCACAACCTCCAATTACAGGAGTTTTGATTACTTGTCTCCTTTTCATCACCAGATCTGGAGTAAATCTTACAGCTTGAGTGTTTTAAAATGCTTATGTCCACACAGTCCTCTTTTTATTTTTAAATAAATTGTAATATTACTACTCTGATAGTAATAATAATAGAATCATGAATGTTTTGAATTGGAAGGGACCTGACAGATCATCTAGTTCCAGCCAACTTTGACCAGACCACGTTTCTCAAAGCCCCATCCAGCCTGGCCTTGAACAATTTCAGAGATGGAGAATCTACATCTTTAGGCAACTTGCTCCAGTGCCTTACTCATTATTATTGTTGTTTTTACTGTTGTTTCTATTACTATGGAAGAGATTTGAGAAAGTTCTGGATATCCAAATGTAAAAAAAAAAAAAAAAAAAAATCTACAGAATTGCAAATACTGATAGCAAGTAATTTGTACCAAGTCCATTTTTAAACGTATGTATAACTTTATAAGGTTAATAACAACTTTACAATGGCAAATAATGTAGCTTTTACTTACATGATAATTAAAAGTTACAGGATTGATAGTTTGTTTTGAAAAGCATAGTTATATGCTCTTACTGTGCTCTGAATATGATAAAGACCACTTAATGCAATGAAAAAATATGTGCCATTAATATGTTTATAAAGAAAGCCTTACATGCACTGAAGCCTTGCAGAGTTCCTTTGTAGCATAAAGTGCTTTACTTGTCATCTTTACTGGAAATCCACACAGCTGTGAAAAATTGCTCTTCATGTCAGAAATAAAAGAGCTCACTACACTTTCTGCATCTGTTCTGGGGAAATACTGCACTGGCTGACTTCGGATGCAATTTAAAGGGTACCTGAGAAAGTGTTCAAGGATACCTAACAACTTTCCCTATATTTCTATAATTAATAAAAATCCTTGTTGAGAAGAAAGCATAAGTTTGTCTAAATGTTTTTTTTTTAAAGGTAAACAAAAGCACTTAATTCCTTATGGGCCTGAAGTTTATAAAGTTACAGGACTTCAGCACAATTATACTATGCTAAGCTATAAAGGCAAAGATTACTCAATATAAGTAACCCTTAGTCTAGTGTTTTCTGGCAGGAAAATTCTCTTTAAAAGCAATTTTTGTTGGTCACATTTTTACACAGTTTGACTTTCTTTTACAGCACTTCCTTTTGCATCACATTTAAAGTGGCATTATCACATTTATGGAAGCCATGAAATAAATCACTCTATTTGACTTCTGATTGTTCAATACTGGGACAGAGACTTGACTAAACATTTTGTTTCAATTTGTCTATTAAAACATATCTCTACTGACTACTATGAAATTATGAAAGAAGGAAATCTGGCAGACTCAAAAATAAAAAGCAGACCCTTGTTAGAATTGTAGAAGAGGAAACAACAAATATGTTCTGAAAGGATACGTGAAGAATCTTTCCCCTATTGGTTTGAAGTAAACACTCAAGTATATTTTTGTCTCTTCAAGATCCTCAGGAAGAATATATCCATACTTAGATAAACCAAACAAAAACAGGTGTTATAAGGACAAACTCAATAGGCAAACAAAAAAGGGAGGGAAAAAAATGAATGCAGTGTATGTGTTTTTTACCAGATTCTTCCAGTGCATCTGAAAATCCTTATATGAACGGAAAGGAGATTCTGGAGGAATTATATGGCTAATGTTTATGATTTGACCCATTTTCATGCTGTGAACAGATAAAGAAGGGCTGCTTAGAAACGGTGTCATAAAATCCAGTTGAAAATATACTGGGGTTTTTTTGGGGAAAAAAAATCTTATTTTTTGCATTCAAAGTATTTAGAGATTATTTTTATGTTTTGAGGACTAATACCTTTAGCTCACAAGTTTATAACATAACAATTTCAATATTTTCTGAAGTATGGTAAAGAATAAAGTGACAACTACAAGTGACATATCTCTTCAACACTCACTAGCAGTGAATGTAGAATAAAAGGAAATATCATTATTACTTCTCCTATATTTCATGATGAAAAATATTAGATAAAAATGAAGGTAGTTCATGGCAAAGGTTGAAATACTTTTTCTTTAAATTGACTTCCTGGTAAAATTGTATTTGAGAAAAACTGATGCTCTTGCATACCATATAAGTAGCACAAAGATTAGTAAATTGAAATAGTATTTAAATGCGTAATTTATGATTTGTTGATTAATTTTTCTTATTTTCCTTAGCAATGAGATAATAAAAACAAAAAATGCCTGAATTTAAAACAGATTGTAAAACAGAAGAGTTCTTATCATTAGCATCAAATTCAGAATTTGTAGGGCAAACATTTCAAGAAATGTTTATTTCTGCTGAAATGTGAACAGATTCCTACCTTGGCAAAACATAGCACCAGTTACTTAGTATGGAATGTTGCTGAATAACTGTGTTTTCATTGCTGTCAAACAGCTTTACGATATTTGCTGAAATATCAAAATCTCCCAGCTTAAAACAGAAAAGAAAGTTTATTTGCAAATAATTCTACAGCAGTACAAATTTTAAATCTTCAAAAATAATTGTGTATCATGATACACTGAAACTTGATATATTATCATTCTTTCATCAGCGTTCAGAGACTGATTATTTCAGAGGATATTCCCATCATCAAATTGCAGACTATCTTACGTTAGAGCTTACACTTTCACAAGCCATGCAAGTATAAGGTTTAAAGTTTATTGAAATCAGAGAGATTAAAACTTTATGTGAAATGGTTTAATAAGAGTATAGAAGGAATTTCTCAAACTGAGAGCTGTCTCACTTCCACACGCATTTTCAAAAAGTTCAAATCAGATACCCATGCTCGACATTCTAGTAACTGTGTATCACTTTGTCTAAACATGTACAAGTATCCAAAGAACAGAATTAATGGAACATGCAGTTTCATCCTCTGAGAAGTCAAAAACCACCACACTTTTTCACAATGTCTGAATTTGACTGTAGGGAACAATCAAAGACAGAGATTTGAGAAACATTTTATCTTTCTATAATCTATGAGGGTTTGCATTTTTTCACTGAGAAGAAAATCTGGCCATTTCTGTTTTATAAAAGTATCAATCTGGTAATAAAGCCACATAATGATCTTTTCCATCATTGGTCTATATAATTTGGGAACTGGCTTCTTATAGATAGCTTTAGTATTCATGCTGTCCCAAGCAGGGTACAGAAGAAATCCTGTTTTTCTATTTCAACAAAAGAAGAGCTTGGATCAGAAATATTTATTTTAGAAGAAACCAGCAAACCTGACAAATATGCCCTGCATGTATGGATATACTCACCACAGGTGGCATGGCTGTCAGAAAGGATAATAGGTTTTCAGCCTCAACTGTGATGTCTTAAACAATGTATAAATTAAACTTACAAGCAGCATGGTCCCAGCTGCTCCAATATTTTGGAAGCTGTATAGAAATTAAGCAGATTCCATAATAACTATATAAAAGGACCTTGAACATGGTGCCAACAACTCACCTGTAGTTGCTCTGTTTTTACTCAAAACTGTCTGTGTACTACAGTGTGACTGAAAGCTTTCTAGAAAACACTGCTAGAAGGAAATCTAGAGTCAAAAAGACCCCACACTGCTATATTCTGTTAGCATTTTTGAAAGCTCTCTTAGCCTTGAATCTCAGTTTTACACTTGCTAGAATGCATCAATACAAATACAATATGGATTTTATACTTTTATAACCTGTGCAGATAGTCAGGGAATATGGTTAATGTCTCAGTGCAATCAGAAATAAGCATTTCTATGCCCATCATGATAACTGGAAGTCACCTAACAGAAAAGAAGATAAGGATCAATAAAACACAGTCATAGAAAATATAACAGGCTTATACCTCAGGGGGTGGCAGCCGAATTGAGCAAGGCTCCACACTAATGCAAAGCTGCTTCTCTGACACATTGAGGTCTATAACTAAATTAAAAAAAAAAAAAAAGCACAATGCTCTATTTTGAATTACAGCTCATCTCTTAGACAGAAAGCTTACTCAAATATTTATTTAAGGTAATTGTTAGTCAAAATGCTGTGTATGAAAATCAAAAGACTAGACTTTCTCAGCACAGAAATTAAAATTAGGTGCATTTTAACTGCGAAAAATAAAAATAATAATGAAATAGTGTCATACAGTAATTCAGAAACTCAAAGCTGGCTGTGCAACTGTGTGCTTGATCCTCATATCCTTGACAAACAAACACCCATTTTCAAAGCAAATGTAGTTCATACAACCATTTGCTGCACTGACTCATTCAGCACAGTATTTTCCATCCAGGAGCTGTCAATAGGAAAGACTAAATGAGAAAGGCAAGCATTTATGGACACACCTCCAAAACTTTCACTCAGTTCTGGGTTCTTCAACATATATCTCTCCTACAGATTTAGGCTCCAATATTGCCAAATGTAATCTTAACTTTTATGCTGGAATAAAAATACTACTTTGCAATTTTTGCAATAGCTAACCAGCATGCTTTGTGACTTCACTTTTGTGAACAGCAAACAGTACATACTGGACAGTCACCACAGCTCATTTTCCTATCTATTACTATGGAACTTTCACATCATTTGCAAGACTCTTAAATTAAGGCAAGTGAATTTAATTGCAATAATTATAACTTCAAAATGGCAAATGTCAGTCTATGGCTGTAGATTAATAGTATAAAAATTATCTTCTTCGTGAGTAATTTTTCAGTTGAGCTGACAACTATTACAGACAGAACATTACCTGCCACCAAGAGTATTTTGACAAAAGTAATTTCAGAGTGAAAACCAAAGACTCTGCGCTGGTAATACCAAGATTGTGGCAGTAGGAAAGTGCTTAACTTTACCCTGCTCTCTCAACTTTACCATTACCAGAATATTGTACTTACCAACAGCATTTTGCCTTCCTGAATGAGACAAAAAGTCTTTCCCTTAATAAATAGAATAGACAGACATTATTTTCTAAACCATATGTCTAAAGTCTTGATGTGAAAAAAAAAAAAAAAAAGAGAAAAGGAGAAACCACAGTTTTGTTTGCATCTATCACAAATGCTGAAAGTGTATCACTTTTTAGGAGATAAAATCCCCTCTAGCAATTAACTTTTCACTGATTCATTAACATCTATAAGAAAGAGAGATATGTAAAGGTATATTAGTAGGCAGCAATCTATACATCACTTTTTCCTCCTAATCCTCTACTTCAGCCACTACTCCTGAATCAGCTAATTTCAATCTCATACCCCTATATTTTGAAGATACTGAGAACAGGATACTGTTGTTATTGTGGCTGTAAATAAGACAACACATGCACACTTTTATCAGCACATATTTGAAATTATGTATACAATTGCTCTAATTATTATGAGCACACTACAGTTTTTTATACTTTGGTAATTCACATGTATACTACACAGGTATTGTAAATTTAGGCTGCCACACACAGGAGTTAGCAGAGATGTCAGGCAAAGCAGCTATGATCCAAAAAAGACAGAGCTTGGTAGAAGAAGAGGGTCTGACAGAAAACTACTTCTGTTTAGAAGAGCCTACAAACCCTGTGCAGAAGTGTCACTGCTGAAAGCATGAGTCAAAAAAACCAACTCTGTCCAACAATATTTGGTTTCATATGGTACATTGCATTCAGTTGACATAATTATTTTATCTATTACAAAGATAAAGAAGAAGATGAAAATGTGAACGGCATGTCCATTCAGAATATTAACTTGAATAATTTAACTTGGATAACAAAACGACAAAAATTCAAATAAAGAAAAAAAGTAATATGATAATGGAATGAAACAATTTATTATTAATGAATGAAATAATTATGGAATTTAAATGATGGAAAACAAATGCTACAGTAAAGAACTGAAAACTAAATGATTGATCCCTGACCGAATTGAGTCAAATACCTTGCACCAAGAGATGACCAGCTTTGTTCCATCTGGGTGCAAGCCTGGCTGTAAGTGTGTAGGAGAGACAGGTTTGGAGAAGGGCTGGAGTAACTGTTTGTGGTGCTTCCAGCTAATAAAACAGTGACAAAAAGAAACATATATTTTTAATAATTTAACAGATTTTTTAAAGGCTTCAGTCAAAATTTAAGCAAATATACTGCTACTTCATCTTGGAGCCAAACTCCAATATGTGCCACACATGTTTAGCTTTCATCTACTTCGCTTCAAGAAGAAGGTAGCACAGAACTTGATGTTGGCATTTGGATTTCATGCGCCATTAAAGTGAGGTGCATGACAGTTCCTAGAATGCTTTCACAGGGCTGATAATAGACTTTGGGAAAAGATTAATTGAACCCTCTGGAGTACTTTATTAGATATTCAACTCCCTCCAGGCAAAGCTGACATTACCTCTGCTGTCAGAGTCAAGACCAGACACATTTTCTGGCAATCACAGTAGATAAATGCAGCTTTCCTCATCCTACAGCTCTATTTGCCTGCCTGTCCTGAAGAGCTTTCTCTTGATCATCAGCACTAGTCAAGAAACAAACTACAGCAGGTTAAAAAGAGTTAAGTAATACACCTCCAGAAGAATGTTTCTAATGAATCCTGCAAGGAACTGCTTGGTGTTGAAAAACCTAACAAGGACACATCACCTACACACATCAACATAAAGCAGTTCTGTAAGGTAAGCATATTTCAATAATGTATGTCTTACTAATCTGCATATGCATTTGCACTACTTGGAACAAATTAAGGTACAGCCAGCTGGCTGTGCACATTAAGAGAGCTATGGCTTTGGCTACAATCAGTCTTCTGACTCACCAATTTTAGTGCATCCACATGTACATTCATAAACTCCACAGATGTTGCATACTAGAAGATAGTAAATCATACGCATAATGGTCTAAAATTATATCAGCTGTTAAGCTGAGGGGTTCCATTTCTTCTCTATGCCTTTGGTTTTTCTGAGACTGTCCCGTACAGGCTGGGTAAACCCAAAGGTGAATGGGTTTCAGTTCAGCTGCCTGAACATTCCTGCTGGATGAAGGGCATGACACCAGCAGGAGAGCTGCAGGTCTGTGGCCCAAAGGTTGTCTCAAGGTCAGTCCCCCATGCCTCTGAGCAGGAGCAGGATGCCACTTCAGCAGAGAAATCTAGAGGCATTGATCACAAACTTCTTAAAACTATTGAGTCTGACAAAGTATATTTACCATGCCCACTTCACAGGACACATTTTGTCTACGGGGCGGAATTACTAACCCTGAAACTTGGCTTCTCTAGTGCAAAGTGCAGGGCCTATGAAAAACACTTCTGGCAACAGCAATTGCAGACAAGTGTAACAGCCTAAAGAACTCTGTCATATTTCAGCACTTACAGCAGCTCCATGTCTCTCTACATAGGCTTGACATATTCCCGATTCGTAAAATGGTATCTAAAAATAACAATAAAAAATAAATCAAGGTTTTGGCATTAAGCATAGATTAAATTCTGGTACAACAGTACCTTTGCCTTTGAAAATCATGCAAGGGAAGAGTTGGGCAAACACTTTATCCTGTGTTTTAAAGGAGAAAAATAAAATCAGCTCAGGTATTTGTCATCATGCAATCTCATTTCTAGCTAAAGATATATTCACAAACAAGACAAGTGAGCCAAAGACTGCCCAAAACAAAGCTGCAGCACTCTGCACCTGCTTCTCCTCTTGTGAATTGGGAGGTACCTTACCAATTGAGTCCATTTCATCCCACAGATCGGTTCACCATCTGAAAAGGCCATTTCATCAAAAAAGTAAAGGACTTAAGTTGTCCTACACCACTAATGCACAAAAAAAAGAGCCTGCTTTAAGTGAAATATTTTTACTTATCCTTGCTCCTCAAACAAAACACTTCTTAGAGAAACATAACATGTATGTGTGACAAATACAATTTACCCCTAGCCATACATGACTGACCAAGAAACAACAGGCCTCACATCTTTGGGATGAATTTGCAAGCTGGAAAGTCCCTGGCTACAAAGGAGTGAAGGTGTCTTGAAAAATATTTCAAAAGGTGTTTTCAAAACTCAAAAGTACAAGATAACCAAAATACAGAAAGAGCTATCAGCACTAAATCAAAGACATCTGTCTTGCCTATACTATTGATAAAGAGCCAACTACTTCACCCTTTAATTATTAAAATAAGGATGGGCCCAATCTGAGCACTCCCTGAATGCCAGATTGTACAACAGCTGGCCTGCATGGCAGGTGACTGTTTTGAGCAGGGACTCTTCTCAAGTTTGAAGATTCCATAGTGGAAATTAAGAGAACATTCCTTAAAAAAGGTCAAAAGACCCCTTACCTGTGATCTGCAGTTAGTGACTGAAAGCATGCTGAATTCATGCTATGAGGAATTACTAATCCATGCAGCTACTCAGATACTATAAACATTGTAGGGATAATTCCATTAGGCATGAACTGTTGTCCAAGTCTGAGACAAAGATTGGATACAGCCACACATAGGCTCCAAAAAAGAATTCCAGAAAGGGATCCACTCTGAACCTCATGTCTCCACAGAACTTGACATCTCTTTACTCTTTGCACCTCTGGTCTCTCTCTGAGTCATTCTAACTCAGTTTGCCTTTTCATGGCTCTTCCATGTGTAATTATAAGGTAAACCTTGGCATCAAACTTGCTGTTTTATGAACAGGAACACCGTTAAAACCTTGCTAACCTAACAGAACACTGTTAAAACCTTGCTAAATTCCATCAGACCCATCAAACTCTGCCAAATTATTATTTTACCTCAATAAAACATAGTGCTGTTTCTCTCTTTTGAGTGAGGTGCACTCTGCTCATCTGCAGCAATTTGTAACTACAGATACTTATTTACACAGTGATACTAACCGCCATCACAACCGAAATTTGATTCAGTGTCCCCATAACAGGTGCAGAAAGGATCTCTTGATACAGGAATAATAATTGCCTATGAAAAAGGTGAGAAAGAAATTAAAAATGTTTTATTTTCTCAGCATACATTCCATTTTTAATCAGTTTCAATTGTCTCAGTATAATAAATTGGATTAGTCCAAGTTACTTGCTCTAGATGACCCACAATGCTCTAAGACAAAGATTACAGGCCTTTGGCACACAGATGGAGCTGTCCAAAAGTGTTCCTTTCAGCAGACTTTCTCATTTCTCCCCTTTTCTTTTAAAGGGAATAGCATAATGCTTGGTGAATGCTTAAGAATCTGCTTTCCAAATAGTCTTTCCACTTAGTCTCAACCTACATGAAGCATCCCAGCTTTGCAGATAAACACAGATTAAATTTAACCATTCACTAATTTGAAGTATGCGGATTCATTCGTTTTAGCCTATGAAATTTAAAACATAAATAGATATTTTGTTTTTGTTCCCCAATAGCAAGCAAGTCCCCTGCCCAAGAAAAAAAAAGCTATTTTAAACTATTTTGTACTCTTGCCATCGATAAGAACTTTGCTGATTTTATTACAGTTAATTCTAGTATGACTAATAAAATATTTGAATAACAACCACTAGCAGCTTCTGGAAATACTAGTCCTCAAAACTCTTCACCTGCAAGTCTTTATCTGTGTACTCCTTGACTCAACTTCTGGTATCTGAGAACTCAGTGTTACTGTAGCAGCACAGAGTTTGTGCAGCTCAGGCAGACTGACAAAGAACAGAGACTGGTGTCTGGTGCTATTCATAGTATGTTGTTGATTGCCCTCATGCAGCACCTGGGTATTATAATAAAAAAATAAATTAATTTTTGTAAAGCAGGTAGGTATTTGTTTACAGAACTTTGTATGTTATTAGGTAAATGAATAATCAATTACCTCGATTAAGAATATAGAGAAAATATAACGTGATTTGGTCAGATAAAAGTGCTGACTATCCTTTTTGTATACATAATGCATTATACTTGAAAAAATAATTATTTGCGAGAGCCAAAATATTCAGAGTAAATACAAGGACAAAAGAATACAGAGTACATGTATGATCCTTGCCATATTAACTGAGCACATGCAATGGAATTCTGTTATTTTTGGAACTTCACAAAAACACTGAAAAGAACCCAAAGAACCAGAATTTCAGACTAAGAATATGATTCTTTGATGCAGTACTAACAAATTACATGTGAATGGGAATAACATGAAGTCACATTACCCATCTTGCTAAGTGCCTGTGGTGTGCTCCTTTGCCCTGCAGCACAGGCCAGGCCCAGTGTAATGAGGTAGAATATTCATGACAGAAAAAAGAAAATCTAATATTTCATTACTTGAAGAAAAATACACCTTTTAACTGTAGCATCTTTTTCAATCAAAGTATTTCAAAGAAAGACAGGTAGCGAGAAAGCCAGGAACAAACACTGCACACCAGAAAAAACTGGTTTAATATTTATTCCCTTTCCAAACCCTAAAACAATTTTAGGAAATGATCTCACCAGCACAGTGAGGACAGCAATAAATATTTTGATCCCAAATTTTATGAACTCACCAGGTACTCACCTGAAAAGCAATTTTGTAAATTGTGATAAAACAATTATGAACTGGAAGCATATTTTGAGGAACAATGTCAAAGATAACTTTGCTGTTCTGATTTTGCTTTGCTTACTTTACAGTGTAACAATTTAAACAGATTAACCTCCACCATATCCAAGAAAAATCACAAGATGAGTGTTTTATAACTTTCATTTAAAAGAAAATAAAGCTTTCTTCTTTCTTACCCTTAAAGGAAAACACATTTCAATTTTTTTCGGCAGTCCTGAAAAGTAGGGGTTTTTTTAAATGCCAGCCAAAACTACCACTTCATCAGAGAATTCCAAAAGCTACAGCTCAAGGGAAAGCTCAGTTTTAAACAGTTGAGAAAAAAATCTCATCCTTTTGCAACCATGGAAAAGAAAGCCTGAGTCTGAGGCTTTCGTAATATTTATTGGGGGTTTTTGTGGCAGAGATGTTGTAAAACACATGCTGCAATGCCCCAGAGCCCTGCTTGCTGTTTGAGGATGACTCCCCTGTGGAAACAACTAGCTGTATTAAGCCTAAGTTAAATCTTCCCAGACATATTAAAAGCTAATGGGACAGGGCAGAAGCAAAAGGCTTCTCCCTTCAAGGGAGAGGATAAAGAGAAAAGTAGCAGTTAACACGAACTGCCAGTTAAGAAAGAACTACTGGTTATAAATCCTCGGAAATATACACAACCGCCCTCTGAACTGGAGGACTTTACGTGTGAGGGAGAAATCCGACTTTTACATGCCAATAATCACAGCACGTGAACTCGAAACCTGAGCTCCTGCTAAACTGAACAGAACATCAGTCAGGGAATGGCTATCCCTGACTTTTCTGTCTGAACAGGCAACTAAAGCCCAGAGCTCGGCAGCAGTATTTGCAATTTTCAGTAACAGCCTGGAAGTCGGAGTGAAGAACCTCCTTATCAAAGCTGGGAACAGCACCCATCGGAGGGAGAGTAGCTACTCTTACTGTCAGGCTGACCAGAAGGTTGAGGCGGGATCTGAAGATGGAGGTGACATTCAGTGAAGCACACAGCTGTCCTGCACTCAGGCTCGGCGAGCAGAAGTTAAGCACCAGCTTTCAGGAAGGGTGACACGTCACGCTGGGTAAGTTTTATGCTGCAAAAAAAAAAAAAAAAAAACACAAATGCAGCCTCAATGTGTCCATGGGGTTATTGCTGCTGAGGCATACAAGTTGTGTTGGCCGTGACGGTGGGATGTGGGGACCCATACTGAAATACAGACAAAGCCATCGCACGCATCTGAGATCAGAGCAAAGGAAACATTTTACCTCAGCCAAAACTGCAGGGAAACAGGATGCTGGACTGGTGAGACGGCCTCACCGAGAGAAGGGGAAGGCACTGCGCCCTCAGCCCAGCCGGCAGCCAAGCAGGGCAGCGCCACAGGGAAGCCGAGCCCCGAGCCCCGCGGGGGAGCTCTCCCGAGGCGGGCGAGGGACTCGCCAGCCAGCCGGGAGGTTTAGAGGAGCCGTGAGGAAGCGCCTGTGGCACGGGCGCTCCCGCCGGGATCGCCTCACGGTCTGCGCGGGAAAAGCGGCAGCGGCCGCCTCCCGCCTCGGGGCACTGCCGCCTGCGGGATCGGCGAGCGTGTGGGACTTCCCGGCTGGGACACCTTTGCCTGCTGGGACACCGGCTGGAGGGGCTCGGGCGGTCACGGCGCGGGCAGCGCCCGGCAGAGCCGCGCTGTGTCCGGGTGCAGCTCAGCCCGCGCTCGGCTCGCCCGTGGCACGGGCGCTTTACCGGGCACAGGCAGCTCTTCGCCGGGCCGGGGCGCCAGCCGGCTTTGCCGCAGCGGAATGAGGATAACTGAGCTGAGATGCTAGGGAAAAAAAACCCTTTACTGCGAGGGTGTTGAGGCACTGGAACAGGCTGCCCATGGAGACTGAATCACAGATTGTTAGGGTTGGAAGGCACTTCTGGAGATGATCTAGTCCAACGCCCCTGCCAGGGCAGGGTCACCTGGAGCAGGCTTCACAGGAACACGTACGGGTCGGTTTTGAGTGTCTCCAGAGAGGACTCCACGACCTCCCTGGCCGGCCCCACCCGGCCCATCTGTGCCACTCTCAATGTAAACGCCTTCATGTTAAGGTGAAACTTCTTGTTTTTTAGTTTATGGCCATTGCTCCTCGTCCTGTCTCACTGGAAGGAATGACAGCTCCCCGAGTCTCTTCCCATAAGCAGTGCTGTAGACTCCTAAACATCTCTGTGGCCCTGTGCTGTACACTCTCCAGCAGTTCCTTATCTTTCTTGTACTGGAAGTGTTCAAGGTCTGGCTGGATCGGACTTTGCACAATCTTGTCTACTGGTCCCTATCAGGGGAATTGGAACTAGATGACCTAAAAGGTCCCTTTCAACCCAAACCACTCCAGCGCGGTTCTACATTGCAAGTCGGCGATTAGCTCGTCGCAGCGCACACCGGCGAACGCTGGGGTGACGACCACCCCAGGGAGTGCACGGTACAGCAGCTGCGACTCCGGCGCCCAGCACCGACGGAGGCGCGGCCGAGCCCAGCGGGGACCGCCCCGGCAGAGCCCCCGCCCCGCCCGCCAGCGGCCGGTCACGTGGGGCGGGAGAGGGCGGGGCATTACGTCACAAGCCCCGCCCCCGGCCGCCGCCAGACTGCCCGTCTGCTTTGAGTGGCATTGCCGTGCGCCAATGAGCAGCCGGCAGGGCGGGCGGGGCGGGGCGGTGGCGGGTGGTGATAGGGCCTGCGGCGGGGCCTGCCGAGTGCGCGGGGGCGGCTGCGGCGGTGCGCGGCGGCGCGGGAGATGGCGGGCTCCAGCGAGACCGAGAAAGAGCCGTGGCGGGGCCGCTACTACCGGCTGGAGGAGGTGCAGAAGCACAACAACAGCCAGAGCACCTGGATCATCATCCACAACCGCATCTACGATGTCACCAAGTTCCTGGACGAGGTGGGTGCCCGCGTTGCCGGGACGCTGCGGACGCCGGAGCCCCGCGGGGCTCGCTGGCGGCTCCTCGGCGCCCGCGCTGTGCCCCCGGCGGGCTCCGCTCCGGCGCTTGGGAGCCGCGCTCGGGGCCGCGGTAGCGGCCGGCAGGAAGAGCCGCGGGGCGGGCCCGGGACCGGGCGCCTCGGGCAGGAGAATCCCGCGGGTGCCGTGCGCGCCGGCTGCGCCACCGTGTCATCCGCTGTGAGCCCGCCTGGAGCTTTCGGATTTGAATTTATAGTAAATAAGGACAAGGAGACAAAACTGGAGTCAGTGTGGAGGGCTGAGATAGGCGGGCTGGCTGTGTGAATCTTGGGTACCAAGAGTGGGGCCGAGTCCATCGGCTTCTTGCTTTGGTGTGCCAACTGAAAATAGAGTGAAAAGTGAAGACTTAGCTGGGACCCAGAGCCGTATTATCTTGTGAACTAAAAGGTCAGGAACTCCTCTCTTCACACTATTGTAGTGTGTGTTGTATTATGGAATAGGAAAGAAACTTCACAAAGTACCACAACATACAAAGTATCACAGATCTTGGGGTTACTCTAATAGTCACAGAAGCATAAAATTGTTTGGATTGGAAGAGGCGTTAGAGCTCCTCTCATTCCAGCCCCCTGCCAAGGGCAGAGACACTTCCACTAGACCAGGTTACTCCCAACCCTTGTCCTTGAACCCTTGTCCTTGAACATGTGCAGGGATGTGGAATTCCGAACTTCTCTATGCAACCTCTGCCAATGTCTCACTCCTGTCACTATAAAAACATTCTTCCTTATATCCAGTCCTTGCTAAAGCCTCTTGGTCACAGTGGCTTGTGCTCCTGTCTGCCAAATACGTCTTGGGTAGCCTTAAGCCCTGGGTGGTCTTTTTTTTTGCAGGATGCAGCATTACATACAGGCTGTCAGGTTCAGAAAATTAGGGTGGCTCGCACTGCTGCCCTAATTGGCTCTGTGCAGGGATGTGTGGTGCTGCAAAGCTGCACCAGTTCCAGCTCTAGCGTAGTGCACTACAGGCAAGTTCAATTCCTTCGGCCTGTTTTGTTGGACTCTTTTCTTTCCAGTTAGTGGTTGATGTTTTTGATCTTTGGCAGACAGCAGTTGATGTAATCATTGATAGTCATGGTTAATAAAGAAGCATTTTAGTTACTGAACTAAAACATTATTCAGTGGAAATGCAGAAATAAAACTACTACTTTTTTTGCAGTAATTGAATGGCACTGGGATTTAGATATTTTGAGT